TTTTAAATTGATAATTTTTAATGTTTCATCAAAAATGTAAACAATTTTACTTTTTCTTCTCCCATTGTTTTCCATTCAGTAGATCAAAAAAAAAAAAAAAAAATTTAATAGGCATTTCTTTGATTATTATACATTTATCTATATAAATATATAGTATGAATTTTTATGTTTTTTACATGTCGATTACGATACACATATATTGTTTATATATCTATTTTTTTTTTCTTTTTTATATATACAATTATTTTATAGCATAATTTTCAAATATAATTCATATGGCGGCCTTGACCCTAAGTATACACAACGGTTAGTCAAATAAATGAAATAGGATAAATCAAATTGTTGTGCACTATAAAACATTAACGAAATGTATTTAAAGCAACATGAGCAACTGTCAGCTTCATTTGAATATTTTGTTGAATATTCTTGGAAACTTTGCAGGGATTATGTCATATATCTGTTTACTATTACTAATCAACAATTAACCAGAAAGAGAAGCTAGACTGAGGCGATAGCCGATGGCAAATATTATTGTTAGAACAGAGAAGTTCTTCAAGTACCTCAACTGACATTGGGTGTATTGAAACTTGTTAGTTTGTTGCTTAGTTATAATTAAATCAAATACTCTATCTAAAGCTTGCAAAATTAAAAAATAAAATAAAATATAGAAAGCTCACTATATATCACATTTAATATTATCACACACTCAATCAAAATAATTACCTTTTCTATATTAGTTAATGCTGCCACTTAAAGACAGGGTATCAGAGCACTCGACTCTTTGCAGTTTCATGATTTCATTTTTTTTTTTTTTTAATTTCGGCTTCCACTGTTGGTTTTATTGTTAAGATACGCCCGCTAATTGTCATGTCTCTCTCGCTCTCGCTCTCGCTCTGCTGCTCTCTTCCTCTTTGCCTCTCCCTCTCTCTCGCGCTCTAGCTTTCGTCTAGCTCTTTCTTCTTCGCTGACCATTTGAAACTGAAAGTGTTAGCCGCTAATCAATCTTACTAAAAAGCAAAAGTTTGTTTTCAACATTAGTTCGTAACGGTTATTTACGCGTTTTAAATCATTTTAATCAATTTGATCAGTGTTTTATCTACTTTTATTCACCTGTAATTTCGTTTAGGCCTTAATGGCGGGCGGCGTTAGGAAATTGCCTAAAATGAGAAAAAAAAATTAAAATTAAAATGAATCGAAATATACAAATACTGAAATTTGCATAAAGACTAACGATGCGTTTATTCAGTCTATCTGTCTCTGTCGTTTTCTCGTCTGCCATCTCCCTCTGGAAATTGCATAAAAAATTTACTTAATGCACTCAGCCATAAAGCATATTAAGTACCCTWAACAGTTGGCTGCCTTTTCTCCAAGGCGAGAATTTCAGCATCATAAATAGTAAAGTTGTTTTTTTTTTTATAGTGCCATTCGCTTGGAATATGTTATTTAAATTGAATAAAAAAAATGTATATAAAATATATTCGAAAATAATCTTTACTGTGCTGCTGATTAAGCTAAATATATAAAAGTTAAAAAAATATAAAAAGA